AAAATATTGAACATTTTGAGCTTCAATTGCAGGTGCACTGGGAGCTCTAGGGAATCGTTATGGCAACAAAGCGATGAAAACTGGAAGTACGTCAAACCTTCTGCACTCTGCATCTTCTAACATTAGTTTTCCTTCAGATCAGTCATGTTTGTATTTTCTCTTTTCTTCAAACATTAGTTGGACGTTATCCTGGGGCTCAGCTCGGTCTTGGTAAGTTTCATCAGTTTACCTGTGTGACCTCAGAAGCAATACCTAAACACAAACATATGTAGTCATTTTGTCTTGTTGTATTTGAGGGTTTGCAAAGTGAAAAACTCCTCGCTGGGGCTCCTCAATCCAGTTCTGCAGCAGAGATTCAGCTTGTCCTAATTCTCGATCGATTCTGCCGTCTTTTCTTTTTATTACTTTCACAGGGGGTTACAGATCTCATGGATTAGGAGGAAGAGCAGGCCTGAGACAAGGTGGATATGGAGCCCAGGGAGCTTATGGTACATCAGTGTAACAACTTATAAAACCCTCAAACCCTACGATCACTTAATTTCCAATGATTTTGACTTCTGCTGTGTATGGCCAATGAGTTCAATGTGGTACATTTTTTTATGTTTCTTGTGATTACAGGTGCCAGCCTGGGCACAGGAATGGGTCTGGGGACTGGACTTACTAATGGAATGGGACTGGGCTTGGGCCAGGGAGGGAAACGAGGTAAGAATGATGTATAAAGGAAGATGCCCTCTTCCAATTGATACTTAATGTAAATGTAGTGACTGAAATGAGATTGCAGATACAAGCGGCCCAAATTGAGTTTCCTCTGTCGGACGGCTGGGCTCAGTTTTAGGAGACATGGGGCGATGAGAGGCCTGTCGTGCTCCTTCAGGTATCTTCTCAGGACACCATCCATTGGAGGTTTTCTAGGTTCACGCAGAAGACCAGGGTAGACCCAGAACTCACTGGAGGGATTAGATATCCCACCTGGCCAGGGAATGTCTTGGACACACCCTGTGGAGGAAAATAGATGGATGGATAGATGGAAGTTTTATAGAAAGTAATAGTGAATAAACACTTAACACTCACGGTGTTGTTTATAAATAAAAATGTAATTGACACCAAATTCCCGAAAAACCTGTTAATATCCTCATCTTATTTAAAGTAGTGTCCAACTCGAAGATGTAAATCTCAAAGGGTGCAATAAAAGCACACATTTAATCATTTCAAAAAGAGGATTTAAAGACTTTACACTAAAGCATGTAATTGTCAAAAAGTAAAGTCACTGGATGATCTGTAATGTTTTAGAGGAAAAAAAAGGTTCTTGCATAAACAGTAGAAATCTTTGTAAATAGAAACTAATCTTTGTTTTTCGGACTTTTCAGTTTATGGTGCTGGCCTCGGCACTCTGCCAGGTGAGTGATTCCACAGTTTGTTTTATCGATTTCTGTGCAGTGTTTTCTCAGATGAGAGTTAACACAGAGAATTACACCCTCTGTAAATGCTCCACTTGTTTGTTTGATAAATCTCAGCCGAGTGGCACTTTATCATCGTCTGTGAACACGATGTCTGGGGCAGGCTGCATCTTCAGCAAATAAAACACGTGCCCTTGTAAAACAGAGAAAAATCCAGGGCTTCTGGTCTCTCCACGTCCTCTGAACTCGGCTCTTTGTTTTTCTTGACAGGATATGGGGCTGTGGCTGGCATGGGCTATCCTGGAGCCCGACCAGGTAGGTGATGAATCATGTCTCACCTCGAGAAACGTGACTTCTTCCATTCAGTTTAGATTTGTACAGGGACACTTGGGTTGGGATGCTGAGAGAAGATCTATAAAATGCCACGTGTGATATTGAATTGAATGGTCAACAATTGTTTTAGTTTAAAGACATTTTATATTTCAGCAGACAGTTAACTTAGCTTTATGGAAATCAAAGGAATCAGTTGTTTTATTTTTGAGATATCTAACCCACTATTACCATCACTAGAATGTTTGTGCATAACAAAATCAATGTCACATCTCTGTGCATTGTATAGAAAATACATTGAATGTTCTAAAATGAAATCAAATGTTATTAAAAAAAAATGATAGACTTAAAAACAACATTCAAAATACAACTTTAGTAAATCAAATTTGTTTTATACTGAATTGTTTACAAACTTCTGGCTTGCAGTTACAGCCACTTGTAAGTAGAGGAAGTAGTCATACTTCATTCTTGGATTTGAGTTTAAATGAATCACCCACACTAACTCACACTCATGCTGTTAGTCATGGATAAACATGAGACTTTTTAAATGAAATTATTTATCATCTACATCAAAACTATATCCAAAACCTTCCGCTTGTCTCCTTCCAATGAGCTGGATGCCTTTTATTTTATCACTGTTACAGAGATGCTCAGCTTTTTAAACCCTTTAAAATCTAAAGACTGCAAGTGTATGTGGCCAAAGTGTTGTTTGTCAGTGAAATCAGTGACAGTCCCCTTGTCTGCTGTTATTAGGAATTGGACTTGGGTATCCCACTGGACAGAGGGCTGAGGAACAAGTACCCGGTAAAGCCTCTACCACAGCCACCTGTGGTGTTTTTGTGTCTTTATTCTGTGTCCAAGATTCACATGCTGATGTGAGTGTTTCATACAGTCTGTGTTGCATGTTGCATGAGTTCTGCTGCTCTTACTGCCACAGGTCCAGTCTATGAGTTTATCAGCCTTAATGATTGCAGTGCACTGAGAGCTGTGGTTTACACAGACTGAATGAGGCAACTGGAAAACAGGTTCTGTTGAATGCATGCACCCCACAGACTTTATATATAGACAGTAGGCAACAAATCTCCAGTTCTTCCTATTGTACAAAAATTAAGCCAAAATATCCCGATATCGAGGTCCGGCTACACACAACCAACCAATCACAAGTCAGTCTCACCTGTCAATCATCAGGTTTCTCTCCATTTTAATATAAATATTAAAAATATTTATTTGGAAAAATAAAACACTTCAGTGTGAAAAGAACTACCCAAAATGACAGAAAGCATCTTTGTGAAAATTCTATTTAATGTGTGCTTTGACTTTTTAGTTTGGTCATTGTCCTGTCTGCTAACATGGATAAGGCAGGGTTATTGACCTATACTGCAGCCTGCCACTTTGGGGGGGGGGGGATTTAAATGGTTTGGCTTAACATTTGGGGAGTGATCATGTCATCCATCTTTATATAGAGTCTATGACACACACTCATAACCTGATGATAGTAAGACTAAGAGGATCCTTTGATCATTGAGAGAGATGCATTTTGATCCTTTCAAACACCTTTTTTTGGATGCATAGAATATCAGGTTCCTGTGCTTTATTCTGGTTCTGGTTCACAGTCAGTGATTATAGTTTGAATGCAAAATCTCCATTGATAGTGTTGTGAAAACTTGAATTCTTTAAGTCTATTGTCAAATGTTTTTGGCTTTTAAAACGTTTTCTGTGTACTACTTTAGTTTTCTGCTTTTATATCCCATCAGTGTCAAAGCTTTGTTTCTGCTGCACACTGTCTGAGTAAGGCGGTGTCTTTGTCTTGTGGTGTTTTTTATGGCATTTCAACTGTTTGAGGTGGCAACACTTTGTTGTGATGTCATGTTGTATGCGTTGAAGTCATTGCACCGATGCAATGAGAAGTACAATATTTGTCCTTCCGAAGCTTCAGTTGCGTCTTGTCTTCTTTCCGTCTCAGTTCCTCATTATGCTGACGATTCTAATTTCAGCCATAATGGATTCTATTGTTTCTTGATTCAGTCTTGAATGACCTCTTTCTGAGTGACGATTACTCAATGGATCATGTGTTATATTGCATTGAAATTCAAAGTAGACTTTGAATTAAAACACAGTTCTGTCACTGGCCACTAAAGTGTGCTGTTGACCCTCAAAGAAACACTGTTGTCTGTGAGCCACGAAGAAGTCACGAATGCATGATATTTTTCTGCCAGGTGTGTCTGCAGCAGATTTGGGTGGAGCAGAGCTGGCCAGTCTGGGCCAGGCTATTCAAGATCTGATGAGAGAAAAGGGCAGAGCACTTGCTCTCTTGAAGGGGAAAGGAGACAAAGGTCTTGTTCCTGAAACACCAGTTGGAGGTGGCAGTATTCTTGGTCCTACTGCACCTGAGTTACTTGCAGGAGGAGATGTCCCAAGCTTTGAACCGTTAGTAAAGTCATCAAGTCTTGGATCCACAATCCCTCTTGATAAACCGAGTAAAAATCTTGGTCTTGCTGCTTCACAAGCACGAGGAGGAGAGAGTCATGACCCTATGGTCTTGAAAAGAAAGAGCACCACAGGCCAAGGAGTCATACTGGCAGCTGGAGGAGTAAGACAGCAGCTACCTCTGAAACAAGACAACACCAGAAACCCAGTCTATGCCTCCTCTCAGGCACAGAGTGCTGGAGATTATGATTCATTGATTCAACAAAATCAGCGAACCCCAAATTGTGGATCCACTCGTGATTTGTCAGAGATATCAGAAGTCAATCACCATGAGATTTTGGGATCAGAAAGGACTCAAGGTTTTGTGCCCCAGCTTCACTTTGGTAAAGGCAACAAACATCTTGGACATGCAGCTCCACAAGCACAAAGAGAGAAAGCCTATCCACTGCCTCAAGATCTCACAGGTAATATACTCTCTCATCCAAAGGGTCAGTGAACTGGAAACTATTGACCTGCTACAGTGGATGGGCAAGGTGTCAGGCACCTTTGGCTTGTGACTAAAGACATTAATGGGCTTAGGATCTATGGAGCTGTTGCTGTAGAAAACGATAGTGGTTCTGGACAAACTGAGGAACTTGAACTGGTAGTACAAGTTGAACCAAAAGTTTAGGCATTGCCTCAGTGGAAGGGCAGGAAGCTTAAGGCATTACTGCCAATGGTCAGGAAGCAAAGCACCTTAACTCTCAGTATCATAAGACAAACTATGAGCAATGCTTTCTTTTGTTTTCCACTTGGGTAACGACAGATAATTTTATTTGCCTATATAAGGTTTCCCATCACTGATATTTTTCCCCTTTAGATTAATTTCTTGCCATCATCTTTTTCAGGTGTCTAGGCAAATCTCTTCTCAGATTACCCTTTTGACATGGTGGCCTTGTTTTTATAAACATTAAAACCAGTACATAGATCATATAGGTTGCATTTACGCTTTTGCAACCTAGGAAGCCTTAAAGTTATCCAATGCTGTTAGAGAAAGTTTGGTGAAGAAATCCTTTGTCTCACCCATGGCACATGATCAATGCGAATACTCCGTCTGTTTACCGTAGTTCAGTCATTGTCCAATTAGCTGCACAAAATGTAAAGTGTCTTCTCCATCTTGCATCATGATGGCAGAAAACTTTACTGATTTCAAGTACGATAACATTTACTTGTATCCAGGATGGGAAAACCAAGGTAAACGCATTCTATCCGACTAACGGAGATGTAGTATTAGAATGTTTTCTTGATATTTATGTGGATATGTATCACATGAGAGTGAAACCCTGAAAAACAGACATTGGTGTGATCTTTCAATCACTCACTTGACTTGCGTTAATGTGCAGGCTTGTTTGGGATGACACTGGATGTACAGTCAGTACTTGATCAATGGATACCTCAAATGCAGCATTGTGTGTAAAAAAATGGGCTAGAGCAGTTTAACATTGCACTACAACTAAAGCTGATGTCACAAGCTAAAGCTTCCACTGTTTGATCCTGCTGATGGCTTTGTTGTTTCGTTGTGTATTGGTGCCTTCAGTTCTGTTTGCGTATCTCTTTTTCTTTAAAAAGCAAGTGGAGGTGCTATAAATGGTAAAACTGTTGCCTTAATGTGTATTCCTTGGTACACTGAAGGCCGTCCCTATGCAATTTCATTTTTATATGGATAAAGACTCATAGTAGTCACCCAGCATCAATTATTGGGAGATTCAACTATCTAAATCATCTAACAGATCCTTAATGTGAGCAATGATAACTTGGGGTTTCTAGTTTGACTCTGTTTGCCATCAAGTTGGAAATGATGCAGATGATCAAAATTTGAGATGATGGTAGCATCCACTCTTACTGTCAGGATTGACAGGAAATTGTGCTGGCTGATCTAAGATGGTCTTTATTTTTTAATTATTTTAAATTACCCTTAAATTGCCATTTAATCAAAAATACTCATATGTAGAAGTGTTTCAGTGGCAGACCCACTAAAAGTTAAACACAGAACACTAGCACTCTATAGATTGAACTGTTGAGTGTTAGTTGCCTTGCTGCATAATCTCTTTCTTTAGTAAAATTTGAATGCTATTGGTGACAGAATGAATGTGGTTTCTAATCATACTAAATCATCTGCTGGAAAACACAAGCTGATTTTGTGATTTCTGTTGGTAAATCAAACTAATTATGAATAATTTCATATCTGCAATACAATGATTTAGTCCTGTTCAAGATCTCATTCATTATGAGAGCGGTCTGTTGTTACAAATTCCCAGATGGTCGGTGTTATTACCAGTGGCACACATTTTGTTGGAAAAATTAGTTTGGGTTTCTTGGATCTAATGCAGAAATTGTAGAAAAAGACCAAACACACCCAACTATACCTCTGCATCTCATGGGCTGGTTTGCCTAAGATTCAGGGAGTGTGTTTCAGGTTGTCAGTCTTTTATTTTGAAGGTCTTTGGATTGTGCCTAAGGTTGTCATAATATCTTATTTTGAAGGTCCACAACATCTGATTTATTTTCAGGATGTAGTCAGTGAGAGTCAGTGCCCAGTGGAGAGGCTGAAGAAATGTTGAAATGTACTGTGAGTCTCTTTGTCCTGCTGTTAAATTGTGTGTTCATGTGCAAGCAGCAATTCTGATTCAAACCTGATTCTGATGTTTGCTGTCATGGTAAAGCTGAGTTTGTTTCTGTGGAAGCTGAAGAGACTCTCAACCCAAGCATCACTGTGTGATCAATATTATATAAGAATGATTATAAATGTATTTAGAGCAACTCGAAAGAGAATAAGACAAAAGAACACAAGCACGGGAAAGAAGAATAAAGAAGATCTATATCAAATAAATAGAAGTAATAAATATAAATTATAAAATCATATCTGGGATCTGGGAGTAACCAGCAGAGCTCTGTTTTAGACCATAATTATTGTATTTCAGCATAAATATAGTAATAAACTAGTGTTATCTAAGACTGTTGGACATCATGTCCCTCTGGGCCACATTAAATTAAAGGGGACTTTGCTGAACTTCTGCAAACTTTCTCCACAGGTTATACTGGTGGAGCGGGAAACTACCTTGGCCCTGGAGGCTACGGAACAGGTAACGTTGGGCACTGACACATCACACAATAAAAGTAACACTCTTTTTTTTGACTGAGATGTTGATGTACTGTATATTTACATTACCTGTGGTAAAAATTTCCAACGCACTGTCCACAGGTTTGGGGCAGGGAGCATACCTGGGTGGTGCGGCTGGCAAACTTGGAGGTAAACACGTACATTTTCCATTTTTACCATCCTTTCCTTTGTTGTGACTGAGGGATGTGTGCTCATTTTTCCTTTTGCACCGCGTCCTAACTCTAAACTGTCTGTGAAACACCTCTTAGCTGCCGCTGCGCTCGGACAGGGCGGGTATCCTCAAGGTGCTGCAGGCAAGTCTACCAGTGAGGTGGAGGAAAATTCTTCCATCTGTTGATTTGCATCCTTTCCTTCTTCAGCATGTTCTCCTTCAGTCTTTGCTGCAGCTCTTGAATTCTTTAATTGAATTGTTCAACATTTTTAGAAATATCCTTATTTATCATGTATCACACATCAGAAAATAAGCTCTAACTATGTTCACACCAAACAAAGCAAATTCTCACATTGTTAACTTGTTTGAATTTGTCTGCAGGATCAGGGCCCAGTCACATATAAGCAGATGTTTCAGTGGTGATCCTTTACCTCCCATTCACTTACAGTCTGTGCAAGTGAGGAGACATATAGAACATTCACTTCCTGTGGTGAGGCAAATTGCAGCATAGCTTTGTGTAGAGTTCAAGTTTGGTGAACGTTGACCCAAACTATTTGCATATGCGTGAGTGCCATTAAACAAATGACTTAGTATGTAATCTCATTCCACAAAGATTTCACTTCACATGTGATCTGAATGCACCATACTTTACTTTTATTTGATCACATGTTAGACCTACTTTTTCTTTACCTTGCTTTAAATTTTACACAAGTATTTTCCTTCCCTTTCTTCTGAATAATTTGCTGAATAAAAATAATTACTCCCAAACTTTTTCCTGTGAATCTACTTTTTTGCGTGCAAGTCAGTACAAGGCAATAGTTTCATATTTGCTTTAAGATAAATAATGATATCTTTTGTTAAACAAGTGCAATAATTATGTCTGCCAGTACATAATTTTTGTTTTAAATGTGTTTTATCACAGGCTATGGTGACGGAGCAACAGGGCTGCTGGGTGCTGTAGCAGGAAATGGCTATGGTAAGTGATAACTCATCAGTTGAAAAAATTAAATCCTATGCAACACAGTTTAAATCAGCAAACCAAAACATTAACCTTCAAATGTGAGTGGCCAAGGATCATTCTTAATTCTGTATCAAGGTCCTCATGACTGGAGTGATGATTGACAGCTCAGACATGCTGATCCTTGGTGTTCAGTGGTTGTTTTTGTTCTCTTCTCTTTGTAGGTGGAGACGCTGCAAAAGCTCTGGCTGCAGGTAGTGGGCGTGCATAAAATTTTTAAAAAATCCTTGTCTTTTCATCAGAAATGACTAAAACAAATGTGGATTGAAAATATCAATTGACAATATTTCCTTAACTCATTGCCCTTTCTCTCAGCAGGTTACGGGAATGGTTATAGCGACGGTTATGGAGCTGGTGAGTGCTGCTGAAACAAATTGTCGAGAAGAGTCGGGACTGAGTGTTCTTAAAGAGTCAAAGGCTCACAGACATTGTTATAGTGCTAATTAGAACTATGTTTCAGGGCTTGGTTACCCAGCAGACTTAGCTGATGGGGCTGAGAACAAAGCAGGGAAGAGTAAAGGTAACGGTTATAACCAGTTATAACCAGCTGACACTCATAACAGGGGATGGCATTAACCCATAGATGCTTAACCTGCTTAAAATAAGAGGCCATAAGGGGAGCGTCCTCTCCTCTGCTGAACATGTCCAGTTTGGTCATTCATCCACTGGGTGTAGCTGTTGTCTCTTATTTCTAAAAGCTGACCACCTTAATCTGTCGGTTTCTAATTTCCTGCTCCTTTAGATGCTTTCTCATGCAGTTTTGCTGTGAATTGGTTAATTAAGCAGCAGAGTGTGACCTACATGTTTATTTTTTCAGCCCTCAGCACAGGAGGCTACGCTGGGCAGGCACAGGGGGCATATGGTAAGAGATTTATGGAGCATCACATACACTAAAACACTGGCTGCAAATAAACCATCACATGGAATTACTGGGAATCAAAATTATCCTCATCTTTTAACAACACACACTGTAGAGAAACACAGAAGACATGTCTCTACTTCCCCCAAATCAAGCCAAAATATCTGATATGTGTGCCATGTTGTTTGTTTGATGTCATTTGGAGCTTAGGTATCAAGGTCCATGATACACATGCTTAACCAATCACGAGTCAGTGTCGGCTGTCAGTTATCACACAAGTTTTTACAGCATGATATAACTATCAGCCATGGCACTGAGAGAATTATCAAGAAACATGAATTATCAATGAAAATGTTGAAAAATATCTTATCTAACAATGATAGAGATGGAAAGCCTTCTTGCTGGAGTTAATGACCTAAAATGATGAATCATTTTTAAGAATTTTTAAGATGTACTTTGACTTTTTAGTTTGGTCCATGTCCCATCCACAAACATGGAGGAGGCTGGGTTTTTAGACCTATACTGCCCCTAGGTGGCAATCCAGATAAATTAGCCTCACAGGGAGCTGTCATGTCATCCATCTTCATGCACAGTTTATGGTCAACAATATTCCGGCCAGGTCTGGTCACTTGGTGTGAAATTATTCTATCAAACCAACCAATAAATTGGAGAGGAAATGATTTTACAAGGATTCCCCCTCTCTCTTGTCAACATTCAGGAGCTCTTGGGTGGAATCAACTAGTGGCAAATATTGTGGGCTGTGCTGACATGACTTCAACCGTTTGTCACACTATTGGTTAGAAGTTGTTTCCATGCATGAGTCAGACAGCAGGGCTTGGTTGTTACTCAGAGCAGATGACAGGGTGAAAGAATCTGTTTGACCGTGTGATTTTTCTTTTCTGCAGGAGCAGGAGCTGCTCAGGTTCCTTATGGGAATGCTCCAGTGATTCCTACTGGACTGGAAGGTAGGAGGAGTACATTTGTATTACAACATTATGAGAAGCTCTACCATGGCACACGAAAATGCTACTTTCTGATTGTCTGGCAGGTGTCCCTTTTAAATCAAAAGACCAACCAAAAGCTATCAGCATTTGATAGAATGTAAACTAACATGAGATTTGATTAGTGAAATAAAATCAAGTCCGTTTATTTGCACAGCCAGTCACAGTTTCAAAGGCCTCATGATGCTCTAAGAAACAAGAACAATAGCATAAGCAGCTGCAGCATTTATAGAATGTCACAACTTATTTCACACCTCACTCCCTCATCCTGTTACTTTACCATGAGCGCACAGTTTTAACAGACCTTTTTTCTCTTAGGTGAAGGGGGGTACCCGTACGGCGCTCAGTCACTCAGCCTCAGTGCTGAAGGTGCTAAAGCCACCAACAAATATGGTGAGAAAGACTCAATGTGTAAACAATGGTGACAGTGACGGTAACGGTGTGATGGAAAAAGTAATGCATGATGTTGTCTTGGTTTTCATGTTACCCATCAGTAACATCAGTCATAATCTTAATATATTTTGTGTGTTTGTCCTGGTCTTAACAGTGTGGTATTTCTTGCATGTGTTTGACCAGGTTATGGTGCACATCTGGGAGCGACTCAAGATGCTATGGGTGAGCGAGAATACTTGTGTGCTTTCCTATTCACATGCACCGTTTTCCTGAGTAGGACAAAAGAAGCACAGCTATTTTTGGAAAAGGAACTCACAATTGTCCTTGTTACATACGCTGAACATTTATATGAATTGCTTGCACATGAAAACTACAGCTGCATGCATTATGGATTATTTTGCACTCAAGGGTCTGGAACCTGTACACTGAGTTGGCTGAGTCGTCTTATAAAGGAAAAGAAAAAGAAATTGGTGTAAGACAAGCTGTCAAACCTCTTTTCTTTGGCACATTTGTAACATAGATTTGATCTGTTCACAGGAGAGCAGGCTGGCAAATATGGTGGAGTTAACGGTGCCATTGGAAATGGATACAAAGGTGAGAAGGAAGGAAGGTGTAGGTGCATGAAGATTAAGGTCCAGTTAAAACATCATACATATATTAAAAGATTCCACACAATGGGTAAAGCAAGTTTTTTTCAGTTTTTTTGAGTAAATCTCTTTAATTTCCTGTCAAAATGATGTTTTATGAAACCCACTGATTTGTTTAAAAAGGACATTGTGTGCTTTAATGGTTTTGTGTTCATCACCATCCAATCTCTTCCTAATTATGTATCTGTCCTCTTTGTCTCCCCTTTTCAACCAGGCTAATTCAAATGACCTGAACCTCTTCAAGTGGATCATTTCCCTGATGTGTTCACTGTAATCTGTTCTAAAAGCTTTTTGTGTGTGTGTTCAGTCCATTTTGTCCTGTCCTGTTGTCAGTTTTGTCCTTGTTTTATCCTCTTCGTCTTTTCTCTGTAAGGGGACTTTGTTACCCGTGTCTGTTTGTCACTCTGGTCCAGAACCTGCAGTGCCCCACCTGTCTCATTCTTTTAATGCTGAAAAAAATGGTGGTGAACATAAACAAGAAAGACATTTATGTTTTGAGATGAATGTTTAAATGAATGTTTTAATCAAATAAATTATATGTCCAGTGATGCTGAATTGAAGCTTCAAACATTTGGTTTGTTTACCTGAACACTTTGTTCCTCTTAAATCGCATCATCAAAGCCTCATTTGCACACAGGAAGTTTTACCACTTCCTGTCTCATGTTGGGCAGCACTGTCTGAGATAAAGTGAACACCAGCACTCAAATTGAAACTTAGTAAGAAGTAAGAAGATGAGACATGGAATACAACAAGCAGTACAGATATGATGCTTTTATTGTGGATAAATGAAGATCAAATAGGCACAATGAATCACAAATGCATACAGTATATTGATAAGAAATAAAAATGTATTGTCTGCCACAGCTTTTATTTATTATTTGTTATTTTTTACATTTATAACATTACATTTTAATAATCTATGTAGCTTCATTAACAGTTCATGCATAGAAACTGCTAGTTGAAGGCTTAAAAGCAAAGCATACTGAGCCAAAATTGGACATAATAATAGGAACGTTTTCCACAACTGAGTTGCAGCTGCTACATTGGCCTCAGATTACACCACGTCAAACATGTGACTCTTAGCTGTAAGACTCTGGTTTCCCTGGGAACTCGATTTGTCCACAAACACACCCATCTTTAACAGGAGGGCCTTTGGAATTGGGTGGGCATGACGGGACACATACAGGCTGTTCAGGCTTGAACTCATAGGTGAAGACTTATACTCTGTGCATGTATTTCCACTCAGGCTCGGGGCACATCTCACCTCCCATTTGTAGTACAGCAAGCCGTGCTGCAGTTGACACATTTCTTCCTTGACACCAGCAGACAGAACTTGCTCACATGCTCCCAACAGGTCGTCATCCCATTGGTTGTCCCTGTCCCACACTTCAAATCTCACCTTAGGGAGTGAGGACAGATCCTGAGAACCCAGGGGGACCACCATGGCCCAGTGTGGGTTGTTGTTGTTGTTAATGACAGGAGACTGCTGCACTAACTTTGTGTCTAAGGACACTTTCACGTAACCATCTGTGGAAGTTGTGTGGTCACCCCAAAGACCAGTGGCCCGCTGTACGGTTATGATGACCTGTGCCATACCCACACGGGTCGGGCAGCAGTTCTGGTTAACAGCTGGATCGTTGTGGCACTGACAGACACAGGGATCCTTCGAGCCGCTCTTGATCCCGGCCCGACAGCTTTCACTGCAGTTCCTCAACAGGCCTTTCTCCAGGATGTAATGGCTGATGGCTGAGCGCAGGTTCTTCTGGAGAGGTGGGTTACGCGGTAATAATTCATGAAGTGACTTCAGGGAATATGAAAGGATGTCTGGGTGCTCTGGGAGTGTGGTAAGCCATTCCTTATAGGCTGATGGATCTTTGTCAGCAGAGAAGAGAAGATCAGGCTCTGTGGTATGGCCTCCCTTTATTTCTGTGAACCTGCAAAGGAAAGTATAGTTTCAACAAATGAGTTTAGAGGTGCAAATGGAGAGAAAACATTTGATTTAATACATGAAAAAAATGTTCCCTACCTGTCACCGAAGTGGCTGGAGAACGATGATTTACTTTCCATCTTGTTAGCGTCCCTTTTGCAGAATTTATTTTGAGCTTTTACCTCAACCACAAAGGTGGCAGATGCCTCAGCCTCCAGGCACATCTGCACCTCCTCCACACTGAGGCCCTCCAGGCTGGCCTGGCACTGCCTGATGCTGGTCACAGATTCAACACTTCCCCCCAACTTCACCTGGAATTATATTATATATTTGTTATTATTATGTTATATGTGCTATTTTTGTATAAAATAGCTTATTTGGGGTTTTCTTTCACCTTAGTGATGTAATGTGTGCCAAAGTTGTCAATCAGATTGTAAAATTGTTGCTTGGATTCAGAGCTGTACTCTTTGGGAAGCTGTTTCACCGCTTTTTTAAACTCTTTGTGCAGTTTGGGGGTGTTGCTCACTCTGTAGCTGTTCCCAGTGAGAAACCAGACGAGAGGGAAACACAGACCAGAATGTTAGAAGTGAATAAGAGTTTTACATTTTTTAAGGAGTGTGTAGAGAAAAGCTTACGCTGATTTGTCATCTTCTTACCTGTAATACTCACAGGATATGCTTTGACTTGTGAAACTGAACTTGTCCTTCTTGGTCTTTTCCATAGAATACTCAGCCACTTTAGAATGGGCACCAGCCAACATCAGTGAGCCGCTTCTTGGACCCACATTAACGTCTAGATTGATCTGCCAGTTGTTTTCAATAGATGCAGAGCTAGAACTGACCAGAGACTCACTGGACCGGTGGAGTTTACTGGCCACTTTATTGCTGCAGGACTGCTTTGCCCTCCAGTCCAACACAGACAAGGGTAGCTTTTGCCATTTGTTCTCCATGTAGGGATTGGTACACAGGGTGCAAGTTTTGTCTCTGCGTTTCCACTGATTCATGTCGATCACAAAGGCACCCTTACGCTCCAGTTTGGTGATGTCGAAGCCTTCCCCGGCCAAATTGGCACCCGGAGCGTACTCTGCATTTTGACACTGCATGGGTTTCCCGTCAGTGCATGACTGATGGGTGTGCTGAGGGAGGGACAGCACAAGGCCGGCACAGATGACAAAATTGAACAGAAACATGCTGCTGGGATGGGAGATGGAAACAAATATAAGTAAAGCAGTTTAACACAGGGAAAAGTGGCTCACTGCATGTGTCACTCTCCTTTTTAAATGCCACACATTTCCCACTAATCTTAAAACTGTGATTTCTGTGATTTGTGTCTTTTGACTCTGGAAATCATGTTATGTTGTTTATTGGGCCTTTATGCTGCTTTTGCTGAGGTGTAGGATTCAATTTCCTCGGCCATCCATCCATCTTTCCATCCATTATCTGTATTGCTTATCCTTTAAGCATTGCGTGGTAAACTGTAGCTTATCCCAGCTGACATAGGGCGAGAGGCAGGGTACAGCCTTTATAGGTTGCCAGCATATCACTTGGCCAACATAAAAAAAACTTTTCACACTTGTGGACAATTTAGAGTCTCCAATTAACCTAACCCCAATCTGTATGTCTTTGGACTGTCTTCGAACTGCAAATTTAATGGAGTCTTCCCTGACCGATACTACACCCTTCCACCCAGTTTCTTGGTAATCCGTCCAGCTAATAATGGACAGACAAATAAATGTAGACAATAATAAAACCATATCTGTCTTATAGGAGACTCGCTAGCCTTCTTCCTACCTCCACTAGGCAGCCTGGCCCCTTTGCTGTCCTCCTCGGACAGACGCTGAAGCTCAGTTTTATTTTTCCACCAATCTCTCACTCTCTTGGGGTCGACAGAGAAATGTCTAGCGGCTGCTTCCCCGAGTTGTTCTCTGCATATTTTACGACAGAAAGTTTGAATTTCAAGTGGTACTTTTTATTTTTTTGCTGCACCGGAGCCATGGCGATCATCAGAAAGCAAGAACAATACATGAAGAAGGCGAAAAAGAAAAACATGCAGTGTCAGTGGTCATATCTTCTTCTTTGATTTAAAAAAAAATTAATTAGACCCGGCATTTATTTGGAACCGTCGGTTATTAATCAAAATATACACCTGCACCCGGCATTTAAAGGGGACCCTGTTGGTGTTTACAGAAGTTAAAAAGTTAAATGTTGTTTTAAGAGTTCTGCATAGAAAAACGAACTGAGTTGAATAAAATTCAATATTTTAAGTTGATTCAACTTTATATAGACAGACATACAAATGTTCCTCTTACAGCTCTCATTATTACATGTATCTATACAGTAATGGACTTAAAAACGTGACATGACTACAGAAAGACCAAGTAATACATGCAAGGATATCTTAATATAAACACGTCAGCACAGACTCACCTCAATCTTGCCTGTAACTGCTGCAGAAACTGACTGCGAGCATGAATGTCAGAGCTTTGAATTTATACGTTTAAAAAAGCAGGTTAGAGGGGGCTGATGGGGACGAGGTGACGGTGGTCTACAAGAGAACAGAGGAAATGTGGTTGGACAGTTTCATCGATGTTGAGCAGGAGTGTTGTTGAGTGGGAGGAGCTGGTTGTCTGCAGATAAACTCAAACTAATGGTGACAACATGAAAGTAAAGGCTGGCTTTCCAGTCACTAACGAACCAGAGACCACAAACCTATCATTTCTCTGTAGTGGTGGTGGGCTGTGGTCGAGGACTATGAGAACAGGAGAGTGTGACACATTCGTGATTAATTGCCAAAGTAGATCTCAAAGACAAAGTGGCTACGATAAAAGCATGAGCTTTGAAGAAGACATGGTGGTGAATCAAAGCAACACTGAACAATGACAATCTGAGCTACAATGGCACTTTGTAGAGAGCACCTTATTTCACACTGTTAAAGAAAGTGGATCTGGCCTTTTGTCTGAATCTGTGCTCAAATATGTTACTGAACAGAATGTTAGGAGTGAATAAGAGTTTTGCATTTATTTAAGGAGTGTGTAGAGAAAAGCTCAAGCTGATTTGTCATCTTCTTACCTGTAATACTCACAGGATATACTTTGACTTGTGAAACTGAACTTGTCCTTCTTGGTCTTTTCCATAGAATACTCAGCCAGTTTAGAATGGGCACCAGCCAACATCAGTGAGCCGCTTCTTTGACCCACATTAACGTCTAGATTGATCTCACACTGTTAAAGAAAGTGGATCCGGCCTTTTGTCTGAATTTGTGCTAAAATATGTTACTGAACAGTGGTTGAAAAAAGCCTACTGCCCCTATGAAACCACCATTTAAATCCACTATTCAGTTTTTTCATCTACATGAAACTTCCTGTATTAATTGATATCAGTCTCCTAAATGTGAAAATAATGTAAAAAATTTTCTCATTAAGATCCAT